TGGAGAGGGCTTTTTTTTTTTTTCTCAGGTACAGGCTGGGCACAGACAGAGCTGGGAGAGCTGGGGTGGGAATTTCAGTGCATAACTTTTCCTTGCAAGGTACCTTAAATCTTGTTTTCCGCAGCCTCCAGCCATGTGGCAGTTATTTCAGCTGCTTGTGAAAAGCTTCGCGTACCTCATTTATGTGTCCGCACTCAATGTTTTTCTTACAATGTGCCTGGAAATGGCTGCAAAACGTTGAGCTCTGCGTTGTCGTGTGTATCCGGGGTTACTGGCAATGACTGGAGACAGGACTCTGCGTGCTGTGGTTTACAGTGAGGGCTCGGTCTCCCGGTTTGGTAGCCTGACCGTTCTTTGCTGCTGACCCTCGCTGTTCCCCGCTGCAGAGCTTCGTCAGTGTCAGCAGACTTTGGCTCTATAAAGAGCAGCTTCACGGTGGAGGCGGGACAAAAACGCCCCAAAGCATTCGCTGGAAGCGGGGCTGAGACCCGTCAGACCCGCTGAGCTGGCATGCTGTCCGGCCTCGCTGGGCGCGCTCCGAGGCAGGCGGCCTGGCGCTGCTGCTTCTCTCAGCAACTCAAAACCTAAATGAATAATCTTCATCGCTGTAAATAATGAGTTATTTTGAATGTTTTGATGTACTTAGTTTCAGGAAAAAGTTCTCAGCTATCAGAGCACGGAGCTAGGTCATCGAACGTGGGAAGGGAGTGCGTCTAAAACGCTGGGGTTCTGGTATTGCTTGTTTATCCTGTCTGTGCCAGGGCTCTTCTGTGGGTATTTTTAAATTTTGTTTTCATCTGACTTGGAATCCGGGGGTTGTTTGGCTGCCACAGAGCTGCTTGTATGCCCTTGATACTCATTTGAAAGCGATAAGACTTGCTCGCCCCTGCTGTGCCTGGGTTTTGTCCGTAACCCCTCTTCATTCGCGGCTCTCCGTGTTCCAGGCTCTGGGCTGTGCCGTGGAGCTCCCTGATGTCAGCTGCAGACGGTTCCTGGAGCAGCTCATCAGCCTCTTCATCTTCTACCACGGACCCGTGCGCCGTGCGTACATGGTAATTAAAGATCCGCAGCTGTGCTGTTCCTGCCTAGGAGGAGATCTTGAACACTGCCCGTGCCGTCCGCGCTCTGCCCAGGCACACGCGTGCCGGCCTGATCCCTGCGTTCCAGGGTCAGAGCAAGCTCACGCACCAAAGAGTCAGGACCTGGGACCGTGTACAGGCCCATCCTCCTCGTCACACCGAGGCAGCGTGGGTGTCTGCTCAGAGCTTTCTAGATGCTCAGTTTAGAGCAGCTTCCTCTCAATATCATCTTCCTCCTCATCCTTGCAAGATTTGCAGCTTGTAGGTACTGACCCAGACTGATTGTGTCTGACCATCCTGAGGCCTGTGCAGTGACAGCCGCGTGGATTTTTGTTGTCCACAGGCGTTTTCTCGGGAGGAACTGAGCAGGCAGTGGGACAGATACATTGAACATATCCAAAAAAACACCAGTGACCTCCACAAGATTTTCAGTTCTCTCTGGAATCTGGACAAAACCAAGGTAAAAGCCGGTCCCCTGCAGTGTCTGGCTCTAGAGCTGCCTTAGTGCTAAAGCGTTTGTGTTTATTTGCTGCTTTCAGCATTTCCCAGGGCTCTCTGGCCTAATTTCTTGTGCTTCTCCCTGTCTAGGTGGACCCCCTGCTTCTACTGAAAGCAGCTCTCATCTTGCAAACTTGCCAGCGCTCTCCCCACGTCTTGGCAGGCTGCATTCTCTACAAAGGCTTGTGAGTAGCCAGGCGTTACCCCGAGGGCCAGCCTGCACCTGAAATCTGCCCCTTGCCGGGGCTGTGGTCCCGGGCTGCGGCCGGGAGCTGTGCTCGCGGGGCCGCTGTGTGTTAGTGGCAGGAACGTTAGTGCTTCAGGCAGGGTGATCCCTGTCTGCTGGTGTGTTTCAAAGAGGATAAATGGTTATTTGTGTTTGTCAGTAGGAGAAATGGAAGCATGGAGAAGTTCAGGGGTTGGGTTTAGTAGTAATCTGCCGTCTTTGATGGGCAGCAGCACACAGAGAGTGAATTTCCTAGGCTCTTTAGGTGGAAGCCACCAAGAAAAAGAAAAATGTGTGAATACTGTTCTTTCCCCTTAGCGTTCTCTTTGCCGATACAGTGCACGTGTGTCTGTACGTGTGTGCTTTTGGCTGACCTGTTGGCCAGGGCCACTGTCCAGACTGGCAGGAAGTGCACGGAAGGATGAGGCGGAATTTCCCATGAGAAATGCCGGCTTCTCTCAGCCGAAGGTTGATCATAGCTGAAGGTGCCGCCGATGTGGCGCTGAACGACATCGAGGAAGGCCTCAAAGGTGGCCTTGAAAGACAGGAGGTGGGGGATTCCGAGAAGTTCTCGGCGACAGCATCCAGGCATTGTTTTCCTTTGGCGTAGGCTGCTCCCGTAGCGCCTTGTACGAGCCCTGGGCGTATGCCACAGCGTGTGCGTCTTTCCAGGTCGGACAGAGGCGGCCTGGCATTTCTAAGGGAATGATCCCAGACTCTCTGGCAGGACACTGAGCCTGAGTCACTGCAGCACCTTAAAGCTGGCAGCGTGTTGTGCTGGAAGTGGACGTCTGACTCGAGAACGGAGTCTTGTCCGGCGTCTGCCCGTCGCCAGTCTGTGTGTCTGCTCCTGTCGCTGGTCTGTCCAGCAGAGATCTTTTTTTTTTGCCAAATGTCAGCAGAGTTCTCTGTAACTCTGAATCTTACTACAGCAGTGCAAAGGGCTTTGTACTTCAGTTAAACTCTTCCTTCTTTAGAGTGTTTTGGAGAAGCTCCAGAACGTGGATCTCAGCAAGACGTAGGCGGAAAGACCGAGAATGCCTTTGGAAGCCCTGTCTGAGGGGCCCGTGCTGCAGTACTTTGAGTGCTAGTCTTTCTGAACCTTCTCTGCTGCCACAGCTCCTCACAAGGTGGCAGGAAGCCCGTATGGATGGGTCTGTCTTAGATCTTGACTCAGCAAAACTAGATTTCTTGGCCCAAAGTAAATGCCAGCAGGCGGTTTTCCTGAGCGTGGAGGGGAACTGGCCCCAAGAGAAGAAGAAAGCAGGAGTCCCGATGCGGGCTGATTGCGTTCCTGTTGCGTGGGGATGTGTTAGCTCCAGCCCGCGTCTGGGCTGGCCCTTCAACCCCTGCAGAGTGTCTGGCAGGACC